CTATAAAGAACATAATAAATTACTGTAAAAATTTTATATATGTTTATATTTTAAAAAACAGGCAATAAATATCTGGACATTGGAAATTGTGATAGCGGCATCGGTTTGTTCGGAAGTAATAAATAAATAAACATAAAAAAAAACAGCAAAATTCCTCGAATAAGAAACAGAAGATATCCTGGAAATATAAAATCGAAATCCACACGGATCATTGCTTCCTACCAAAAAAACAAACTAGTAGTAGTAACTATAGAAATAGACATCTGCCACAACGTTGATACCGGTGGACTAACAGGGCAGTGTAAGAATGAAAGCAAGCGATAAATTAGAAAAATACTTCGACCAGAGGCTGAAGACAGTGGGGAATATGAAGCTAAGGGTTGTGTCTATGATACGATGAGTTACTGAAGATTTTCGGCCGAACGAAAAAAAATTCTGGTGTTTGGTCATTTTGGCCAGGGCAATGAAAATGGAACTATTCCCAAAAAAACAAAAAACAAAACAAAACAAATGTTTACAGAATTGACGAATGATGTGTTTCTGTGAAGGGTAACATCTGTCTAGCTTCCGCTAAACCCGAGGGCTTCAAAGATACTGTTGAAAGCAACAAAAAGCAAAATAAGTGTGTGAGCAGACTTGTTGTCACTAAAGCTACCAATAAACAAATTCAATAAACAACTACTAATAATACTATTTAATACCCTGATGAGATACTCGAAACAGCTTTCATGTAGGTACCCTCACATCAGTGATATCTTAGGTTTAATATACAATTAAAAAAAATGAAAAGTTTCTTTTAAAAGATTTTATATAGGTACCACCAAATATTAGCTAAAACTGAGTATAACATGATGAAAAAATACCCCACAATAAGAACAATTTTTATCGTCAAAATACTTGTTATTATTAAGTAAAAAGACCAAAGGATTTTTTAATTATAAAATTATATGTTTTGGTCTTTTGGAGAACGTTCTAAATTTTGGTTAAAATTTTTATTTTTTTAAGCCAGCAAGGGAACGAAGCTTAGTATAAGAAATTTTAGCGTTTTTTAGCGGTGAAAAACATATTGGTTTCGAAATTCTTGCAAAAAATCAAATAATTGTTGGATTTTAATGAAGCATATTCACACACGAATTAAACTATTTTAGAACTGTTTCTTTTTTATTTTTATAAAATCTTTGTCAAATATATTTCTTTCATCTGTTAGCCTTCATTGATTTAATTCTATAAAATTTCGAGAAATTCTTTTTTGCAGCCTTTAATACTTATATGAAAACAATTCCTCCGAGAATTTCAATTAAAAGTTCCTTGAATTTTCAATTTATTTATGAAACTGAGATTTTGTCAATTTTGGGGACAAAAGACTGGGTTTGCTGGGCTTTTGTACGCTGTGTGCTCATTTTGTCAGGTGAATTTTTACTTTTGTAACATGTAACATTTTTTTTACTCGTGACTTTTTTCCAGGATTCAGCTGCTTTAATTTCAGATTTTGGAACAGTTGCAAGCATATCCAACTGACCACCTATCTATATATACGATTAACATTCACGCTTTAAAAACATTTCGTTCTTATATGCTGTAGTAGACCCCTGAAGGGAGCGCGATATAACATGGCCTGTGTGCACCAATAAAGTATAGATGTCGTAAAACGACCACTACTATTTTAGAAATAAAAAGACGGGTACATGACAGGTCAATAAAAGGAGAATAAACGGGAAACTTAAAAGTAATGCAAAATTTATTTACAACTCTACAAAAATATGTTTGGATTAAAGGGACATGAGAATACAATGAATCAAATAATGGAGGCAGAATTATGTAAATGAAGAATACTGACCGGCTAGAAGATATAGACTATATAACTGTGACTAAATGTTAGAAGTAGAGTTCATGTAAGTTGGTATTTAAGTCTACAGTTCAAAAGTTCAGTTCAAATGTCCGGCGAAAGTGTTGAAAAGTTGCTGGTTAAGTACAATGGTGAACATTCCATAGTATTTTAACCGAAGTGTGCGCAATAGGTTATTTGAAGTCTGGACGATATAGCCAAGGTGTTCAATTTAAATCTTCCATGTGTATGTATGGTTTATCTGCCTCGGGCATTCTTAACGCTTCTTAACTGCGAAAACTGTTTTCCATGTATTTTTTTTCTTCATATAAATGAAGAAGCGAAATACATTTAAAATAGTTCTAAGCACCGCCAATGCACTAATTATTTCATATTCAACGCTAGATAAAAGGATCGTAAAATATTTCAAAATAGAACCGGGAAAAACATTCTGATATTATGGGGTTTTAAGATGGATTCTTCAACGAATCGATACATATTTGTTGACAATTCGTAATCAGGAGATATATAGTAACTTCGTTCCTGTAGTTCAGGTTATTTTTATTTAATAATTTTATAATTTCTTCGGTAAGTGAGATTTATCGTGACCCATAAGGAATTTCCATGAAATATGCTATAAATCTTTCGTTAAAACAACTTTTTAAATCTTTTTCTTTGCTCCTTGTTAAAAAAAAAAAAATCAATAAAATTTTAAAATAGACAAGAAGTACAAAATCCACCTTACGTATGCTTCGTACGTTAAGAATCAAACCCCCAAACCGGATTCATATTTTTCTTAAACTAGCAACATCGTCGGTCGTTATTTTTTTCTCTAGTCTTGAGATTTTTTTCTTTTTACTTTTACTTTCGTCTTTTTATTCTCTTTATTGACATTACATGTATATACGTGCCTGAATGCATAAATCTACCCACCAACTCTATCATAATTACAATTGAAAAGAATTTATCTAAGCTTAACATAACATTTGTTACAACTACTTCTAAAACAACAAAAGACAAGAAATACAAAATAAAATAATAATAAGCTAAAACATGAAGGAGGATTTTACTCTAGTACCTGTAATATTTGCCACAAGAAATACATAGGAGAAACATCGAAGAATTTATAGGAATACAAAAGGGATCTTTTACAAAACTACACACTCAATGCATTATTTACTTACCGTAATTTCTATTTAAAATGCTACTTAAAAGAGAAAGCAATTAACTTAGACGAAAATGTATAGAAAGTGCTTTAATCGCTAGATCATTCACATTAAATTTTAGTTTAGTTTCTTACATTTAATTTTTCTTAACAGGTCTACTATCATAATGTGGTACACTTGATATCAAAAGCACTAAAAATATAAGCAAAAATAAAAGAAACTAAATGAAATTGACTAGACTGTATAATCAAACACATTCAAATACATAATGTAAAAGTTAAAATATTTAGCGTCCCTCACCTTTTTGCTTAGAGATCTAAATATTTGTTAATTAGAGTTTCACAAAAAATCACATTGATGAATTGCGAAGACCCTACAATTGGTAAAGCCTATGAGGCAAAAATTTGGGCTAAAATTATAGAACAAGGGAATAATAATATTTCTTTTTGAATATAGATATAAACTAAAATAGATTTCTTTCATACAAATCTATTGAAATAAAAGCAAATACGAAATCTATAAAAATTTAAACATTAAATCCTTAATCCAATTTCCAAGTGATTAATAAACATCAGAATATTTTTTTCTTCATTAAGACGGAAGTAAATAGATAATGAGTTTGGAAAGAATGACATTAGGATGGTCATTAATGAAAATAAGGAACAGAGTCGACCCAGCAACAGAGACCTGGGGAATGGCTGAACTAATGCAAAATGATCTAGAAGAATAACCTTTCATTATTATTTTTTTAATCGGTATCACCCCATGTAAGGCAGTAAAGCGACTTAGACACAAGGGATTACAGGAAGTGGAATAATTAGGAACAGAAATATTAATAATGAGCGTGAAAATGAAAGAATAATCAGGAGGATAATACATAGCGATTGACATTGCATTTATATTTTTGCAGATTAAAATTGGCTGGAAAACATGGAGCCAGAAGAGAGTTCCACAAGCGAGAAGTGCGAGAAAAGAAACTGTTAACATAGAAGTTACGGATACATCTAGATCAAGTGTAAATTGATGAGATCCAAACGCCAGACTAGTACTGCACTTAAATTCAAAACGTCTAGGTGCCATAGTGAAGAGCAATATTTAATTGTATAAAAAATACAAAATATGGCACAAGGCCAAAACGGGGAATAGGGAAAATGGTTGGTCTTCTTGCGTCTTAAAATTAAACTTAGCTAGCCACAATCACTGACCAAACATACCACACGTTTAGCTAGCCACAATCACTGACCAAACATACCACACATTTAGCTAGCTACAATCACTAACCAAACATACTACAATATTCCTTCAAAACAACGCATTCTTACTTACCATTCTTACTACATCCACCATAATACCACAGAATCTCCATGAAAGTCTTAACTAGTCCCCATATGTACAATTCTTGTCTGTTGGGGAGGGAGGGGAATATAATAACAATTAAAAAAAATTAAACCCCATTGCCATAGCGAAGAGCTCATCCGAACAATTACCATGACATTATAGAAAAGACAGTGAAAGGCAACCTTATGGCGGTGGGAAAGTGACATGAAGCTGAGCTGCAATATCAGGACCAATAATATTGCTGATTCTTCTTTGGAATTTATCAAGGTGTATAGCAGAAGCACCGAACCATATGCGGCAGCAATATTCTAGGCATGGACGTTTTTCGTGACCGTATTTGTAATATAGATGTCGGCAACAAAAACCTTTCCCCTCTTTAAAAAATTAGAGCATAGGTTCGAATCTCCTCGTGGACACATTTTACTATAAGAACTTTCTAGGCAGGTTGGTATTAATTTCACTTTTTAAAACAACAGGGATGTGAATTTCAAACATATGTACCCACTAAAATAGCGTTTATAGTAAGAAAAAGAAATGAAAAAAGTTTAGGTGCCATAGTGAAGAGCGATATTTAATTTTATAAAAATACAAAATATGGAACAAGGCCAAAATGGGGAATAGGGAAAATGGTTGTTCTTCTCGTGTATTATAATTAAATATATTCATTAAAT